ATGACGTAGGGCGCCAACGCTAACCCCAAGTTAATAAGATTTGTTAACTCGTCTTTGTTAACTTCGGCAATTTCGAACTTATGTGTGAATGCAACGTGTGACGTTGGTTCTTAACCCAAGGCAAATGAGGCATAACAACAGAAAAAAGGTGTTTATTCAAGAATCACCCTCCGTAGCGTTCACACCAGCAAGCCAACTATTTCTAAAGTATGCAGGATTTGAATTTGCGCAGTCAAGCGTGTTAACATTGCCTGTGCCTTCTTGTTTTCTTAACCATTCTTTTGTCCGGTGACATGCTGTTCCGCAGACTCGACACCGAGCACCTAATCAGAGCTTGGCATTGACATAACATCCACTTGTCAATCATTTGTAGCGCCCTATACTTCAAGTCATACTCACTCTGTCTTCATGCCCCTATTCCCTCATTCCGTTACTCTTTTAAGCGAGTGAAAGAGTCTAAGGGCGTACAATCTTGAGTATACAACCTCAAGTTTGATATACAAATGTAGTACTTTTACCTACTTACAAATGTACGATCCCACTGTACTGGTGATGCACAGAAGTAATTATAACAAGATCAAGCCAGGTAACGTTACATGTATGCACTATTGGACCATCTTAAATAGTAAATATAAGTGTACACAGATAAGAGGACGTTTGACCTTTTCTAGAATGTGTGCAGTGCATGCGAAGTTATAGCTCCTTTCCACTTATGGTCGCTCTCTCGGCGCTCTCTCTGCGACCTAAAATTGTCCGGAGCGCGGAGAGAGCGCCGTGAGGACGCCAAGGTCACCATGTTTGAAATATAGAAGAACTTTATTGAACGATATTTGCACATGGTTCAATGTATGACAAACTACATAAAGAGAGTAACTAAACAATAAAATAAGTGTGTTGAATAAGACCTAATGTCGCATAAAACATAACAAATCTATATCATAATTATTCAAATAATAAGGGCACAAATTTTTGATAAAGTGTTACAATCGAGTGGGCTAATCACAAATTTCGGAATGTTTTCTAATAAGAAAGCATTCCTTTATATATCTACCTATTGTTGCATTGTGGGGACCATTACATGTAAAGATATATTCAAATCTCTTTCTATATTCAAAACTTGACAATGTACTGTGTACCAAAGGAACTGGCATGTTCAAACCATGACAAAGCAAAGCGTCGGGCTCGTCTATGTGCATGGCGTGATCGGCTCAAAATGTTTTGCTCCGTTTACTTTTAGCAAGAAGATTATAGGCTTTAGGGCTATCTCCTTTGTCACCCAAAGTTTGGATAGCCACGTATTTTCGTGTGCCAACTACTGTCGCCCACGTTGGGCCATGTAAGGAGTTCTACGCAAAAAAAACTGTTCTCATTAGCAATAAAGGACGACGTAAGTATTATCCTTAGTCATGGCTCTCCTTTATACAAAGCATGCAATAGAATGCAGTTGAATCCAGACATACAGTATAATAAGTCTTCAAACCATAACAGCAGGTTTCCTGAAAGAGTAATGCATGAACATGTATCATTGTTGTAAAACGTTGAACTTTATTCCAACACACAATTACACATAGATCAAATTTTACTATGATTACTACCAACACAGATGAACTTCCATGATAATGTATCGTTGTTATTGTGCATAGAACGTATTTCCCTGTCAACAAGTCAAAATGTTACGCCCTGATGTGCGATGTTTGAACATCCAAAATGTTATCACAACTCTTGAACATCCTGGCCCCTCCACAGCATACACCTGTGTACGGCTCATAACAAGCACGCGAACTTGACAATGTACTGTCTACCAAATGTACTGGTATGTTCAAACCGTGACAAAGCAAAGAGCCAGTCGTTTTTGAGTGGTGATCAGTTCAAAAGGTGTTTTCAACTTTCGTTGACATTTCTGTCATCCCCTTTTCAGCCTAAGGGTGATTACAAAACAAAACATGTCATATTACTACCCATTCAAGTGAATGAGACATAAAAATGGCGTACGTATACAAACTTGAAAATGTACTTCAATCAAAGAACCTAACATGTTTAGACAAAGAAAAGTTGTAGGTGGCTTGATCAGCTGAAAAGGTGTTTTCTTTAAGTCTTCCCCGTGTCCACCCACACCAAGTTTGTAGGAGGGAGGGTAGGAAAATACTTACCTGTATGTAATTCAATCAAAGGACCTGATATGTTTAGAATATGACAAAAAAGTTCCAGGTGGCTTGATCAGTAAAAAGTGTTTTATTTGAGTCTTCCCCGTGTCCGCCTACACCAAGTTTGCAGGAGGGAGGGTTATACATAGAGATTACCTACCTGTATAGTTAGTGAAGAGATCTGTCTTCGAATTCTTTCATTATAGAAATTCCCTAGTACTTTTGTAACACTATTGCGCCTGGCCAATGTTGGAACAGTGTGCAATAACGTTATAGACGCGAATTGCCCTGACAGTAGTTTAAATCTTGGAACCAAAGTTTTAAACTGCGTAAATGCACCAAGTCAATGATACCGCCCTAACGTACGATATTTGAACATCCAGAAATGTTTTCGCAACTCTTGAACAATCTGGCCCCTCCACAACATACGCCTGTGTACGGCTCATAAAAAGCGCGCGAACTTGACAATGTACTGTCTACCAAACGTACCGGCATGTTCAAACCGTGACAAAGCAAACAGTCAGTCGTTTTTGAGTGGTGATCAGTTTAAAAGATGTTTTCAACTTTTGTTGACATTCCTGTCGTCTCCTTTTCAGCCTAAGGGTGATTCCAGAACAATACATGTTATCTTGCTAACGATTCAAGAGAGTAAGAGATAAAAAGGGCGTACAAACTTGAAAATGTACTTTGATAAAAGAACCTGACATGTTTAGACAAATAAAAGCTGCAGGCGGCTTGATCAGTTAAGAAGGTGTTTTCTTTAAGTCTTCCCCGTGTCCGCCCACACCAAGTTTGCAGGAGGGAGGGTATACATAGGAATTACGTACCTGTAAAGTTAATGCAGAGATTTGACTTCGTGTTCTTTCATTATAGAAATTCCCTAGTACTGTTGTAACACAATTGCGCCTGGCCAATGTTGGAACAGTGTGCAATAATGTTATAGACGCGAAATGCCCTGACAGTACTTTAAATCGCTTATACATTAGTGAACTATAAGAACAAAGGTATTGGTTAGTGGCGAATAGCCAATTTTTTTTTTTTACATTGTAAGACCTGAATTAGTGTTTACCAACGAAAGGGATTACCAACATTATGTTCGGGTGAATTTTCGAGCGAAGGAAAGAATTTTGTAGGCAATAGAATTGAGGAATTTCCGTTTTTAAAGTATTCCAGTCTTTTTGATTTAACAAGAATTTTGTCTGGCACTCGTGCAATTTTTTCTGTTGCAAGGAATAGATTGATTGTTAGAGCTCACACAATCATAGAACTCACCGCCGAGTCAGCCTTTGAGAAAAAGAGAGAAAATGGTTCCATTAACAAAAACGAGTATGTAAGCAAGTCAAACCATGGATTAGACATTCTAGTTACTACTACTCCAGAAATGTTTTCGCAACTCTTAAACAATCTGGTCCCTCCACAACACACACCTGTGTACGGCTCATAACAAGCACACGAACTTGACAATGTACTGTCTCAGCTACCAAAGGTACTGGTATGTTCAAACCGTGACAAAGCAAAGAATCAGTCATGTTTGAGCGGTGATCAGTTCAAAAGATGTTTTCAACTTTCGTTAACATTTCTGTCATCTCCTTTTTTGCCCACAGGGAGATTGCATAGCAGTACTTGTTATCTTGCTACCCATTCAAGCGAGTGAGAGATAATAAGAGCGTACAAACTTGAAAATGTACTTTAATAAAAGAACCTGACATGTGTAGACAAATAAAAGCTGCAGGCGGCTTGATCAGTTAAGAAGGTGTTTTCTTTAAGTCTTCCCCGTGTCCGCCCACACCAAGTTTGCAGGAGGGAGGGTATACATAGAAATTACGTACCTGTAAAGTTAATGCAGAGATTTGACTTCGAATTCTTTCATTTTAGAAATTCCCTAGTACTGTTGTAACACTATTGCGTCTGGCCAATGTTGGAACAGTGTGCAATAATGTTGTAGACGCGAATTGCCCTGATAGTAGTTTAAATCTGGGAACCAATGTTTTAAACTGCGTAAATGCACCAAGTCAATGATACCGCCCTGACGTACGATATTTGAACATCCAGAAGTGTTTTCGCAACTCTTGAACAATCTGGCCCCTCCACAACATACACCTGTGTACGGCTCATAACAAGCGCGCGAACTTGACGACGTGTTGTCTACCAAAGATACTGGTATGTTCATACCGTGACAAAGCAAATCTCCTTTTCAGCCTCAGGGTGATTCCAGAACAATACATGTTATCTTGCTAACGGTTCAAGCGAGTAAGAGATAATAAGGGCGTACAAACTTGAAAATGTACTTTAATCAAAGAACCTGAAATGTTTTGACAAAGAAAAGCTGCAGGTGGCTTGATCAGTTGAAAAGGTGTTTTCTTTAAGTCTTCCCCGTGTCCACCCACACTACGTTTGCAGGAGGGAGGGGATACATAGAGATTACCTACCTGTATAGTAAATGCAGAGATTCGGCTTTGAATTCTTTCATTATAGAAATGCGCTAGTACTATTGTAACACTATTGCTCCTGGCAACCGTTTTCTTTTGGGCAAATCGCCAATGTCAACCGCAATTGAATACGCGGAAAGCGGTGCCTCTGCTATATAAGGAGCCTGTTTTTTTTGCTGGAACGCCCCTTTCCAACTTCTGACAGTGGTACTGTCTAATAGGCCCACATTGAAGTCCGCAAGCCACAGTGGCCCTTTAATGCACTTTACATAAAAAAGAAGCTTTCGTCAAAACCATTCGAAATATTTGGGTGTATTATGCCGCACCTTTTGGGATAGTCTCATCTTCAGGACTGCTTAATTATTCATAACGCTGATGTCATACCATTGTTGCTAGGCAACCATTGACGTCGGTTGCAGGGGCGTCTTTTATCCTCCAATCGGCTTCAGGTTTACTCAGATAATTGACATCTCCAAAAGTTGAAAAAAGTCTACCTTTGGCCGGAGCCCCGCACTCTCTGGGCGGCGGTAGCGGCAGGAGGGTCCACACCGGAATCACCGACACTTTGGGTACTACTCTCAACCCGCATCAGCTTCGAGTTTACAGTGTGCAACTTGGTCTCCACTCTAGCAAGAACAAAGACAGGTAAGACTGTATATACATGAAATCCTGTTGACTTGTAGCTTCCAGTATCACAAAATATTTCAGACTTTATACTTGATATTTTTTATGCTCGCCAAAATGCCCCAAATGGTCTGCTATATTGGCAACTTTTTGTGTACACCGTCAAAAAAAACAACAACAACAAAAAAAAAAAACACGCATGTACGATCATAGCAAACAGATGCACAAACACGACTTGCACTTGCTACGGAAGCCGACGGGTTGGTCGCTAATGTGCCTGGGCGCACGTGCAACACTCCCAGCACCATCGGGGGGCGTATACGGTAGTCTGACTACCAATTTTTAACATGGGCATTATCGTCACTGATTGATAGACGGCATGGCCCTTGACATCTGTGTAATACAGTTTGGATATCACACGTGCTCCTTCCCTGTCAACTGGTCTTACTTAATTGTTTTCGTCACATATTTCTCACTGCTTGTTGTACCCACCATATGAAAATTATTTACAGTCTGACATTTTTGCGGTAACTTTCCAACGGTCCACACCAGTTATTTTTTCCTATGGCTCATTGTGCACAAAATTGAAGGTAATTCGGTGTACAAAATATTCGCAAATATGATCATAGTCTGCATCCTGTATAAATGTTTTAGAGGCAATGACCATTCAAATAACCCGGTCCTTTTTTTCCAAAGGAAGTGAAAAAGATATGTCAAAGTAATTCAATTCTCGCCTACAGTGAAAACACGTTTTGATCCTATTCACACAAACGCCCTGACGCTGCCCTTTCTCATAGTCTGAACACCACACCATTTCCTAAGTTGATCAGTTCATTATTACGTCTAAAAGTAAAAATTAATCCATGGTGCACGCAATGTGCAACCTTCGGCGACACGGTGTGCCAGGGCAGGTTTGATGACCCGTGCAGGCTGCTTCGTCTTCTACACGATACTAAGCAACACTCGGGGCCTAGTGCTTAGGGGAGTCCTTCCCCAGGTGGTGGTAAAAACAACAAACAAGAGCAAAAACAAGTGCAGTGACTATATACAGAAGTCGTAGCTAGGGGTTGGCCACATTCCTACAGCTGGGTACAGCTAGGAAAGCCATAATGGCTGGCTACCCCAGCTTTAAAATGCTCAATTGACTTAGCCATTACCAGATGGTCAGGTAGGGCATTCGATTCAATAACTGTTCGTGGGAAGAAACTACCTCTAAATGTCTTTGTTCTACAGTGTAATATGTTGAAGCGTAGCTGGTGTCCTCTGGTTGGGTTTGTGTTTCTTGTAAGAATGGTGTGTATAGGAATGGATATTTGAGATTTATAGGCTTGTTCAGTATGGGGCACAGGGCTTTTTGTGCCATGCTTGAGAACTGAGAAACCGATCTCATTCCTTTTATATGTTGCCACTGAACCAAACCCATTTGTACAAAGATTGAAAACTTTCTTTCAGTGAGAAATGGACGTTGTAATAGTTGACAGTAAACTTAGAACAATATAAGTATCATTTCTTCTCATATCATTCAAGGTTTATGATGTCAAAAATTTAAAATGGAATCTTGTTGTGTTCATTCATGGGATGATTTATTATAATTAGTGCATGTGTCGTTAGATAATGATTAGCAGTCTTGTTACCGAAAACGTGGTCTTAGATTCTTTTCGGCGGATGGTTCTGTTACAGCCTGCTTGAAAATTGTACGCCATGAAAATCGCATGTCAGCTTACGACGAATCTGACCGGGACTCAAACCTTGTATGTCACAATTAGGAGAGGAGAGTGGCCAAAAATGGGGATATCAGGTAGTGTCATGCAAGTTGAGAGAAAAACAAGTCCTGCCTTATCAATCGCAAACATTTCCAGCACTTTAGTCACTTTCCCAAGTCACTTATTAAAAGTTTTACATAGAAATTGAAGCCTTTTTTTACATTAAATGGTAGATCTCGATATTTCTCCTGTTCCCAGGGCTAGCCCTTTGGTTGGGCAGCTACAACATACAAAAGAAATTGCTGCTCTAACCGCGCGTACAAACAAATGTTGCCCAGCTAGAAATCTATACAGGAGGCTAGCATTACGTCACTGAATGTTGGTTCAGAACGTGGTTCATAGTTGGATGGAAAAATACACAAATCACTAGAAAGGCCGACATTTGCTCGGGAGCAAATGCAGCAAATGGCTTCACCACATCCTCCGTATCAAAATTGACCTATCCCCCTCCAGCACAAATGGATTGTTCCTAAATCGCCCCTGTCCAAAATATGAAGTGTTCCATAGTTTATACCCCCATGCAGCAATGGAATCTTCCAACGCCTTCTGCTTGTGCAACATGTAGAACCCGTGCTCTATATCTAGAACTGTCAGTTGAGGGTTTGGCTACATTCGCTGTGTATGTTTGCGTGCGTCTTTAGAGTCCGGGGAAGGGAAGGTATTTTCTGTGGAGAAGGCCCAACTCGCTAGGCCGGTTGAAGGGAGTTCAGCTAGCGTTCGGCCAGACGGGACAGGAGCTTAAAGGCATCCAATGCAATTTCAGAGCAGCAAAATTAGAAATATTCTGAATAAGGCAATCTTTATGATATTGACACATACTGCTTCACATTAGCTCATTCAATCAGTATTTCATACTTTGGGTATTTAAAACTACAAAAACAAGCCCTAAGATGAGTCCTTCATTCCTTCATTATATGGGTGGTACCCTAAAAATCAGCCGAGGGCCCTTTCAGTAACCATTTTCCATCAGAATTTTGGGTATTTTTGCTCCATGAGGGTTAATATACATTGGGATAGTGTGGTTGCAACTCAGTATGTAGATAAGTGATCAGATTTATTGACTTTGAAAAAATTTCCAAGCCCAAAAAAACTGCACTGGATGCATGGTCACATCTGGGCTGGAGCTGCCCAGAGGTCCCTAAACTGCCTCAACCGAGTTCAAAAGCGCTTACAAAATCTTGTTGGGAGTGACTTGTTCGCCACCCTACAACCACTCTCAAACAGGCGTAACGTTGCAAGCCTTGCGTTATTTTATCGCCACTTCCACGGCAAATGCTCCGTAGAACTTCATTCGCTAGTGCCCCCACTTCGAAAATTCTCAACAATGACACGTCTTGCCACTTCCACTGAAGCAAATCACCCTTTCTTCCTCCATTCACCACCTCTTAGGAGGAAGTTCCATGCTGAAAGCTTCGAATTCTTTCCAAGAACAACATCACTTTAGAATAAGCTACCTCGTGATTGCTTCCCCCATGAGTATAACCTTTTAAAAACTCTAAGGTCAACAAACATCTGTCCACACTGGATGTTCTGTAACCCAAAACATTTTAAGTGGCTCCCATGAGCCTTGTTTTGTGGTGACCAATGAAGTAAATAAAAAAAGGTAATATAAAACCCTGGGTATAGAAGTTGCCTGTTTTGGGATGATGTTCTTAGTTTTCTAACGTTATGTTTCAAGGCAATGTTTGGACGGCGGCCAGAGCGCATGGACCTTCTGGTCAAAGTAAAGACGGGGGACTACTTCAGAGCAGGGACTAACAAGGATGTGTCCATCAACCTTCATAACCCCGATGGAACGGAATCTGGCGACCTGAAACTGGACGTGTGGTTTCAGGATGATCACGAAAGAGGGGCAGAGTATGAGTAAGTAGCAAAATGCCCCTTCCTACAAATAGGTCATACGTTTCTCTTCGCAGACGCTAGAGCAATTTGCGTATAAAATGTTTCTAAAACAATTAGTTCAAGAAAAAGAGAACATTAGCAATCATTTAGAAAACAATAACAATCATTTCGAGACCCACGCTTATGCCACTTTCTAAACTTCCATGTTAAGCCCAAACATAGCCTTCCGTAACATTTCCTAACACA